TACAATTAAATATGCATACAGGTTTATGCTGTACAAATTGATAGCCCAAAATAAATGTACAATGCAGTGCAGCAAAAATATTGAGTTGCATTTGACTTACAAAGCTGTAATACATAAGGCAGGCTTGCGGAAGCTTCAGTAATCATTTAGTTACTTTGGACATTTACCTGATGGTAGAATGGTGATCAGCAGTTTCATCACACACAAGACAACATACACCCCAACCACCAGGGAGGGTCACTGTTGGGTACCAGCAACCAGCTCTTTCCATTAGTGTGTTAGTGTCTAGTATTGGTTGGGTTGGTTCCAAATTAGTGGCAAGATGTCCATAGTAACATATGAGAGTATCAATGTGAACTCATAACCTGCTGTGCTCCACTCTATGCCTGTCATTAACAGATACAAACATGCCCAGCTCAAGACATGAAGAACAAACACAACAAAACGGTCTAATAGTCTGGATCTAATTTGAATTTAACATGGATGCCATATACGATACCATTTACCCTAAAGAGCCAATGAAGACTTTTAGTATTTGTCCAAAAGAGTCTTAAGGTGATAGGTGCAGTGTTCATTCTAGACCGTGCCCTTGCACCATTTGAACACTAATATTTAACATGGCGCACTGTACAGGTATGGGCGGGTCGTGTCGGCACATCCACAAATGTATATCTGAAAGGCATCATGAGTTTGCTTTCACTTGGCAACTCAAGCAAAACTCAAAGACGTCTTTGGTTTCTCTTGTTGACCTCACCTGGATTGTAAGTTTAAAATAGCAAGTGAACTCATACTAGTAACTGGTATTTTATGGCTAAAAAGTTTGACATTTGACATGACCCAAAATATTTTCTAATTGACCCACATAACTGAGGGCTGGTGGGCCATGGGCTCACTTTTTAGAAATGCTTGAATGAACACTGCAGGTAAATAGAGTTTTGTTGGGCCAGCTTGAAGTGTTTGTTCCACAGCCTTTTGGCCTATGTTTCATATAAACTATCACAATAACAGTGCACGAAGGACAGAGTGTGGGGAATAATGTCATAGATCCTATACAGACATACTGGTCACAGGTTGGCAACTCTGTCAACACTTTAAGCATTCACATCATAAAGTAACTGTAAACAACCATAAATCACAAGTCTTTTGATTCATGACTTCACTGAACATGATTTAACTTCTTTGAACATATATTTACAAATAATGTAAACTCCAAAAATTTAAGCATCATTTCATAGAGTATAGGAAATTTTCTTCAAAAAACGATATTCAAGGTTTGTAATTGACCATGGTTGCTTTTCTACCAGCTACAGGTGCTAAATCACTGAGATGAAGCAACGTTAGAACATTCCTGACACATCAGATGTGTCTCAATGGAAGACACTGATAAAACTGATCAATACAGACTGAGCAACTAGCCCACATGGATCACAGGGCTACACTCCAACACATTGTGCTTCACCTACTTCTATCACTCTCAACACATCCTCAAAACCCAGCACAAGGAATGAAGAGTTCCAACCACACATTTCAAATTTAGAAATTGCTGGAAAGAAACAGATTTTTTTCACATTTTCATTTAATATTTCTTTTAAATACATGACATTGTCATACTTCCTTGCCATCCAATACTCTTAAATAAGTGTTTGTCGCAAAAACAAACATCTGGTCATGATTCATTTAAACAAATGATCCGAGTTCGGACAACTAAACAAAGAAAGTTAAGGTTTGTGAATAGTCTGGTTACAGTTGGGTCACTGTCAGTTACAATATGTAGAACATGAACAGCAAGTAGATGAAAACATCATGCATTAGGAGGAACATACCAAAAGGAATTACAACCTTGAACAAATAGATCAATTTAATGTGTCAGCTGGTGGCACAGACAGATACAGGTAACATCCATACATTAGGAATTTAAGCATTTAAAACAGACCGTCAATACAAGACGGAGAGTAACAACATCAGATTACAACACTTCCAGTGTAACAATGACACACTGTCAAATGCCAAAAAACTTTGGTTTTAAAGAGGCATTGAGGAGGATATGAAATTAGGCAAGTAAATAATATCAAAAATGGAATAAATCCATCAGTTTGGTCCAAGAGGGAGGTTTAAATAAAATGGTATAAGTGGTCCATGGGTTACATTGGAAAAACATGGATGAGCAGAAAACAGATTAGAAGACACCTAGCTACTGGAAGAGTTAGATTGTGAGAATAAGTCACAGGATATGAAGCATCACAGCTGGGGTTTAAACAAATGTTTAGTTTGATATGAACTCACAAGGTAAAGGACCAGCATGCTACTTATACAAGTGGATATTTCTGCCTTCCCTGTTTTCTCATACACACCAGACTGAACCATAGTTCTACCTGCTGTTTTCTCATACACGCCAGACTGAACCACAGTTCTGCCTGCCCTGTTTTCTCATACATGCCAGACTGAACCATAGTTCTGCCTGCTGTATTCTCATACACGCCAGACTGAACCATAGTTCTACCTGCTGTTTTCTCATACATGCCAGACTGAACCATAGTTCTGCCTGCTGTTTGCTCATACATGCCAGACTTAACCATAGTTCTACCTGCTGTTTTCTCATACACGCCAGACTGAACCACAGTTCTGCCTGCTGTTTTCTCACACACGCCAGACTGAACCACAGTTCTGCCTGCCCTGTTTTCTCATACACGCCAGACTGAACCATAGTTCTGCCTGCCCTGTTTTCTCATACACACCAGACTGAACCATAGTTCTGCCTGCCCTGTTTTCTCATACACACCAGACTTAACCATAGTTCTGCCTGCCCTGTTTTCTCATACACACCAGACTTAACCACAGTTCTGCCTGCCCTGTTTTCTCATACACACCAGACTTAACCATAGTTCTGCCTGCCCTGTTTTCTCATACACGCCAGACTGAACCATAGTTCTGCCTGCGGTTTTCTCATACACCCCAGACTGAACCATAGTTCTGCTTGATAGGTACATAGAGAGAAATGACTGACTGGGATCTACACATCGCGATCAAAATCATCATGCCTGCAATAATTCACAGAATACCAATCAAGAATACCAAACCAACAGTTCTAGGTTAATATTCTAAGGAATTATTATGGTAAACATGCCATTTTCTTACAGGTAAATTAATATTTCGGTCTTGCCATTTGTCTGCTGAGTGCAGTATAACCTGCTAAAGTTAATGACAGGATAAGTTTGATGGAATGCATGCTATATCAGCTGTAATACACAGTGTGTGAATGACGTATATATATCGAAGTGTCAGTAGTTCATGCAACAGACATTTCAAAACAGTCCCAGTTTACCTGTCATCACATACACCTGTGAGGACACACGTAGTCAAAGAAACACTAATGATGATGATGGTAAGCCTTCTTCATAGAGTCAGAATACTGTTGTCTGGATCAGGAATACGTTGGGACTTGCAAGTTGACATGACAGAAGGTAAACTGATAATCAAACTCATTTCAGTATCTCCAGAGAGAGTAATGTATACAAGGAAAGAGACTATGGCAGAGAAAAGATGGTGAATTATGATGTTCACTGGTGTGTATGACAGAGACAGCAGGAATTGTGTGTTTACAGTGAAATGCACATATATGTTTAGAGTCTTGATGGTAGTTATGAGACGTTAAACAGAAATTGTCTTGGCAAATAGAAATGTATGAAAGTCTGAATTTCTACAAGGTACGTTTTACTTATCAAAAGGCTGGCAATATTTCATGACTGAATACAGGGAATACAAAAAGACCTAACAACCCCACCTCACTCTACCAAAGTATGTCAATTCCTAACTTTCGTAAACGAAAGCAAATCTGGCTTTGAAATTTGTTATAGCTATCATTCAAATACTATTTATATTAAGGAAAATGTAACTATCTGTTACTCCTGCCCTTACCTACCACCTGCCCCTACCATTATTAGAATCGAAGGAAACAACTGAGTGGTACTGCTTCTGATTTACCACTGGCAGCTGACCACACACTGCTCCTTGTCATGAGACAGGCAATAAACAACAAAAGCTTTCTAAACCTTTCTTGGACTTCTGTGCAAATAAACAATTGCTACCAAACTTGCGGCGTCAGTTTCACTGATCAAACACTGCATCCTCCATTGTCATGTACATCACATACTGTCGCATGCATGTCATATACAACATCAGCATGTCTCCATATCGTCCCTGCTCACCAACATTTTGGCACCTGTTCCCATAATTTGCCCAGAACTTGATAACTATGTATAACCTAAGATCACCAGCTCATGTAGGGCTGTCTATGTTCTCCCACACACTGAGGTAACATGTTGGATGAGGCAGAGTATTATGTCTCTTGCACTACTCATTCCACTCTAAATATTCCCACCCGGGTCCAGAAAGAAATAGCTTACATGGTTATGTATTTTGTCAGTCTGTGCATACACTATAGCAGTAAGTATCTGCAGGCTTGGTCAATACATGCTCAAACAGTCATAAGCTCAAAAAGAGTTGTCACCAGTCCTACATACTAAATATATGCATTCCTCGTCCAGTGCCTTACGGGTCGACCAAAGAAACAGATACAATTTCAGGATCCACAGGCTATATATTATCATACCCTGCTGTACAAACTCCTTCATTACCCTGCTTTCCCATGTTTATAGCCATAATATGGAAGTATTTACAGGCACAGGGGGGTGTACGTACAGTGTACCTTGGATATGTCAGAACTGGGACTAAAGAAGAAGAGATTTGTATTTGGAGAAAACATAGAGGCTGATCAAATACTGGATGTGTCCAAGATGGCTGCCACACAGCTCCATGCTCCACTGCACCTTACACCGGGACATAGTGTTAATTCTTTCAAACATACTGTATGATGTCATGTTTGTTTTGTACCAGCTTCAGCACAGAAAGTAATTACTATAGGGTTATAGCAGGGTGCTTCAATCAGTATTAAGGCTGGGAGGTTTGCCAAAAACATCATGGAAGCAACCCTGGTGCTTTGGGGGTTGGGTAGAAAGGATTTCATTTGTACGCAACACATGCTAATGAAATACATATACAGGCAGTTTGTTGAACATACATCATACTGATAGAAATATCAACTCGTACTCAATCGTGTACCAGCAGTACAGCTTGTCAATAATCGGGACATTTACAATGATGGGAGTCAGATATTTACAGGAAGATGAGAAGCACAGGAACAAGTGCACAGACAAGTGCCACAATGGTATTTCAGACGCCTCTGCTTCATCATCAGATGTCTAGTCTACCAAGCTCATCTGCCTACATTGTCCTATCTGGCAAAGCATCTAGCTAAGGAACCTGAATGACATATTTCCTGGGCTAGTCTCCAGCAGTTTTGGCATAATGCTGTGGTTTTGGAAACTGATGGCACTGATGTGGTCAAGTAAATGAGAAATGCTAAACATGAATGTTATCAATGTGTCACACATGCACATTTCTTGCATGTTATCCATATGTCTGTGAAAGCCCTGATCAGCTTGCATGTAGAACAGTTTGGATGAAGATAGGCACCATCTCATTTCAGTTCATCAACTAATATGATGGTTGTTAGGCTAACATATATCATAATCATAGAAACAGCTTTACAAAGTGCATGGTTAGAATAATATCAAGAAAAGAAATGCATTTTGTCATTCGATCTGTTGCTTGTCGTACTGACAGTTGTAGTCTGACAAAAGCATTGCACATTGCAAATAGTCCAATGTCTAAGTTCAGCACTGGATAATACAGACTGATTGTCTGTTTCTTCAATAATCATTGTTTAACACTTTGAGATTCTGAACACTGCACACAGAATCTCTTGAGGAATATTCTCAGATGACACAGTAGTATGCACAAGTCTCCTTCTTGAGGTTTGAAGATCACAGAATAAGCCGGTGTAGGTGTTCAAGCAGGAACTTGGAGGAATCCCGTTGAACAGTGAGAGCAAAATTGACCATTTCAATTCTTGCTTTCAACTCAAGTCCTACAAGACTAAACTCTTCACCATATATGTAATCCAGAAGATTCCTACTCCATCCGATCCATGGGACTCAAATAACATGCACCATTGAGCAATGAAAAGCAGTAGTTGAAGATTTCATTCAAGGGGAGGTAATTTCTATTCACTAATTGTCTCCCCTTTCACACACACTGTTCAGTTTGTGGCATCTGAAGGTGATATTTCCTACTGAGAAGGCAACACATGGCTACCGAGACAAGTTGGAGAGTGTGTTAGTGGAGGCATTGGCTGTGTGCTGAAGGGCACTGGCACTCTCTTCTGTACTCTGGTCCTCGTAGTTGGGCACACGGAACGGAGTGGTTGTCCGCAGAATAGCTTCAACACAGTCCAAGCGGTTCAGTTCTTTCAGCTTGGATACTAATAATCTGACAGCGGCACTATGATGTTTGGACCACTCCTCGAGGACCCGATCTGTCTGACTCATCTGCTGATTTGCCTCCTTATCCAACACAGGAAGGGAATCGCTCAGACCTAAAGTCACAGCCAACAAACACCAATCTCGACCCATATGCTCAGGAGGATCAAGCAGATAGCTAAGAAGTCTACGTGTGTGGATTGATAGATGTGAAATGTCAAGATCCATGCCTGTGCATATACTGGCCATGATTTCCTCTGAACCCATACAAACGATGTCCACAAAGTCTTCATAAACTTCCCCTGACAGAACCATGGAGTGCCTGTTGTCCATCTGCATCCTCAGAATCTCTGTTGGTGAGTAGCTCCTGATTATCTTATTGTGTTCTTTCAGCTGACTTGGACTCAGGGTATACCTCTCCACACAAAGCCCAGGACATACATTGTCAATGACTTGCTCCACAATATTGACCAGGTCCTCAAGGAAATAGAACAAGGAAGACCGTGCGTCGGGAGAACCTCTCACCTTGATCTCAAGGAACTGTTCATGGCGGTCCATATCTATCATCCCTTCTAGGTCCCCACAGCAGTACTTGGTCCCGTGATGCCACTGGTACAAGTCAGTATCATTGGATGGGTCATCTGTATCCTGAGCGATGTTCCTCCGGAGATACACCTGTATCCTTGGGAACAGATACTTAAGCTGAGCACCATACTGGAAGCTAGTGTGGAGGCGAACACCTCCATAAACTCCTTTTGCATAGCGTTTTGTGTCTCTCTGCCACAATCCATTGAGTGTCTCCACAAAATTCAGACATGGGAACTCATATTCAATATCACCATCATTATCACAGGGTGTACAAAGTTCCAAGGCCTCAAGGACTTGCAAGAGGTCAAGCGCATCTGAGTCAGCATACATTAGCTGGAATTCATCAACTGAGAAACAGCCGGTGATGCGGGACTGTACTATCTTGTCATGGGAGATGAGATGACCGATCACATCTGAACACAACCACTGCGGGTTGAACACCACAAGATCTTGCACAAACTCACTCTCAAGGTAGATCACCTAGAAAAAACAAACAGGATTGAGCACAACAGATCACAAAGTAACTAATGATGTTCTTACCTATACCAGAAAAATTAGAATGAAATGTTCTTGAAGGATCTAATAACAATCTTTCAAAATCTTAAAGTTTAACTTAATTTTAGTAAACTACCAATCAGTTTCAGGTATTTCAGTTGCATTTAGAAGTTGTACATTGATGTCCAAGATATTTTTATGGATTAAATTTCTTTATAATTTCCCTCATGACGTTTCGAGACCATTCCAGGTCCCTTCATCAGGTTCAGGAAATTATAAAGAAGTTTAATCCATAAAAATATCTTGGAGTTTCAGGTACTGTTGCAGTTTAAAACCAGTGCTCCTCACCTCTCCTATGAGCTGCAGCTGTTCTGCCAGCATCTTCATGTGGCCCTCCCCGGCCAAGGGGTTCACCTTCATTCTGGTGTACTCCATGAACTGGTGCCAAGATAACACTGGGAAGGAGGAAGACGACTTCCTCCATGAAGGCAGGCTTGTCACCACAGCTTCAAGGAACCCAGTTGTCTTTGGCAGGCTCTGAAATGACATCAAGTAGTAACTCAGCATTGAGGTTTTCAAATCTAACACATATTTAGCTGCCAGATTACTTCCTACAAAGCTTAAATTCTAATAGAATCCTGTCTGTACTTACACAAGTAATCTCACTCTTCATGTCACTCAGCTGCTGCTTCAGGACTTTGATTTCAGTGGTGGCAGCTACAGTAGCATCCAGGACAAACAGCTTGTCCACAATGTCCACATCAAACTGGAACATCTGCGCCACCTTGGTCAGCAGTCCACTGCCCTCCTTGCTGATGTACTCGCCCTTGCTGTTCTTGGTGCACCCTGCCTTGTCTGCATGGGTCGCCACTAGGATAACCTTTGGGGTGTTCGGCATCTTGCCACAGTGACCTGGTCAGACAAGTTGAGTGAGTAAGTGAGTGAGTGAGTGGGTCGGTGAGTGAGTGAGTGAAAACATACTGTTGCATTTTGCAATGTTTGACAACTAAGCTATTTCAACACACTTACTTCATTACTGTCTAATATTTGAAGTACTGGTGACAAAGATAGTCCTGAAAGGCCTCACTTGCACTGATTTTAGAATACAGAGGTAGGCAACAGTTGAAAGAAGGTTTTCAGGATTGAAGGGCTATCCTGAAACCAACTCACCTATGGGCAGCTGCAGTGGAATCCTGGCCTTGAGGAAGTTGAGCCAGAAGATGACCTGAGCCAGCTGTTCATCGTACGAGTCGATGAGGCTGAACACCACCATGTGGATGCAGCAGGTGTCCCCGAGGAAGTGGTCATACAACATGTAGTATGGCTCATAGCCAGAGTAGTCCCACACGCTCATCTCTCCAACACCTGCACAAGTAATAATAATGATGGTCAAAATGCTTTTTTTAATCTGATGTTGGAGCAATGGAATTCTCCCACATTCATCAAATGGTATTTCCTATATTATCATTGAGTTATAGGTTTTGCTGATTCTTATGAACATGCTTGTCACCCTCCATTAGATCACGTGGTTAATACTCATGCAGTTGGTCGATGAACACTGTTTCAACAGTGGAGTTTTTAGTTACCCGATACATTCTGTGGCTAGTTCCTTATCAACAAGAATTTCTTGTGGGTTTTGAGGTGTCATACTAATTACTGGATAACACTTTTACTGTTGCTGAGAGATCCTAAAAGATAGGGACTTTTCCAGCATTTGACCTAGGACTAGGTAACTGTCCAAGGTTGTCTACCTGTGACATTCAGCTGCTGGATGTCCACTCCCTTGGTGTAGATGGGGTTGCCCACTGTGTAGCACAGAGGGGTAGGCAAGCTGAACTGACGAGACAACTTATTCTTGGCTGTAACAGAAATTGATTCACACATTGCTCACAGTTATATTCAACCAAATACAACCAGGCTAGAGGAAATAAGACTGGCAAAACAAAACTCTTACAGATTTCTGCATACAACTGATGCTGATTAGTTTGTTTGTCCAATGATCTCACAACGGTCAGCAAGTCAGACGTTGATGTTAGACACCCTGAACAACAAATGTGCATTTAATGATGTCGAAGTCAATTCATATACAACAAATATCCTGTTTTAAACTCTTCCTTACTTTTCGTTTTGCTGTTTGTGCTGCCTTGTCTACTTCGCCGAAAGAAACTCCCGAAGTAGCTGTACTTGAGTGTCTCGATGAGCGTGGACTTGCCGACACCGGTTGAGCCGAGCATCTTGAGCTTGATGCGATTCAGTGGCTGTGGCTGGGGGATGAGCTGACTGATGTACATGGAGCCACGTTCCTGCAACAGCCACACAGCAGGATACAGCTCTCCATCACGAGTAGGTAGCAATACATTCAACATGCATTTGTTATTACAACCATCCAATTATCAAGGATTGAATATCAGTGACTATATTGTACCCCTTTCCCCCTTAGAAAACAAATTTACTCCAGATTCTTGTTGAATATAAATACAGGTAATGACTCTAAAACCATAGGCAGTAACCAATGTTTGGTGTTCACTTGCAGCTCTACTCACCCCTCGGACCTTAGAGAGGAGATCTCCAATACCAGAAAATCCTTGGGCCAGGGCCATGATCTCTGCTGTCACCCCATCCTGCATAAAACACTAGCATTAGATAGATGTACAATAGTAGCAGAGATAAGTGTAACCAGGGACATTTCAACTAAAGCATGTACAGACATTCAACATGCAGATACATTTAGCTCTCAGTTGTTAGTGAGTGTCATTGGTTGAGAGATCACTTGACACATGGCTATACATGGCTACAGGTGACATTACCTTGTTGGAAATATCAGCATTAGCTCCTGCCAGTAGCAGACAGCGGACAATGTCGATATGGCCGGCCTTGCTGGCTAGATGGAGGGGAGTCAAACCATCCTGGAGATAAACATGTTCACGTTTCAGAGCATTACTGGAGGCTTAGTAAACATTGCTTGTATATATCAGCCCAATACTACTCACAGAAGTTGGGGATCGTACTTTGCAGGTGACAAGTGAAACATGTTTGGGTGGGTTCCATTAACCTCACAATGCATTCAACACGGAGGTTTTAGCAAGGAATGGTAATGGGAGTTCCAACAAAACCAGGAAAATTTCTTGGGTACAACCAAGCTAACGTTTTTGCACTTCTCAAAAACTAGTACACAATCCTGGGCAGAGAACTGACTACAGTTTCTAGAGACCTGATATTGCTATACATACATACAGACACAGGTTTAAATGAAGTGGGTATCTATGACTTGCTACCCGGCCATAACTATGGTTGTAATGTAAGGAAATGGTAACCTCTAACGCAGCTGTTTAATAATATGTGTATTTACTCGTATTTGGATCTAAAGATTTTAAATTTAATCTAAATTTGCATGAACACCAGCATACAACAAATGCTACAATGCTTCAGAGTACTTAATTCCTACGCTAAGTATAAATCAATGTAGTTTGATATAGGAAGCATGTCATATTGCCGGGTGGAGTACTTACAACACTGACTGTGTCCACCTTACAGCCCAGCTCACACATGGTATGCACTATAGAGAGAAGTCCCTCTCGGGCAGCAGCATGGAGGGCACTCTCTCCGGTCTCCTGGAACAAGGGCACGACTAGTGTGACACTTCCTACAGACTAACACATCATCTGCACTTCTGGAGCTCACTAAACATCACTAATGATACTGTGCTACACAAATTCTACATAAAAAGGTCTTTCTAAACACTTTAAACATGATTACAGCCAATGTTCCGCTACCTAAATGTGGTATTAGTATTGCAGATATTTATCAATAATGAAGCATATGACTTTATTGATAACAACATTTTAGTGTAGATACTTACATCATTATCAAGCTAAAAGTGACTACAATCAAGACATGAGAAGTAGTCATTTCTAAGTTGATAACTCTGAAAAAATCTACCCCAAAATGTCGCTTTATACAATAAACAAAAAGTTGTTATCCACAAAATCGATGCTTCACTAGTGACTCACAAACTTTTAGAATGCCAATCAAACAAGCACAGATCATACAAGAGGATGCATGCCTACCATAATATTGAAATTGGAACACGTTTTACCTTCTCCATGAGATCCATCTCGCATCCAGCGTTGAGCAAGAGGAGGGCTATGGAGGTGTGATGCCTGTGACATGCCATGTGGAGAGCTGTACTTCCTCTCTGTGGGGAACAATAGGGAGGTCGTGTATACACATGAAGTAGGACCAGATGGTGATGGGGAAGGGGGTTGCATCACCAGCATACAGGGCATAGCACACACATGTGGCACTGATGGGGCACAGGAACATCAGGAAATAGATGTAGAATAACAACTTTCACATGACCTAGGTTTACTCTCATGGAAGTATATTTAGACTGGGGCTGACATATGATCGTCTTGATTATTCTACAGAGCATAACATTGTGTTGAAATAGGGTGTAACATAGGTTTACAAAAATTTCAAATTTAAAGACTTATCCCCAAATAATGTACTTCCTTAATTCTAACTATAGCCTGGGAACCGAAGCCAGCAATTCTCAATGTTCAGGTTTAGGACAAATTTATGGTTGTCAGACATTCTTCTATATGTTGTCATTTCATTCAGACAGGAATTTTAGGGAACTATGGATTTTGAGAGTAAGTGAGTGGGTATAGTTTTACACCGCTTTTAGTAATATTCCAGCAATATAATGGCGGGGGACACCAGAAATGGGCTTCACACATTGTACCTATAGCTAAGTCAGAAATCGAACCATCTTCTTTGACATGAAGATCGAAAGCATTAACCACGAGGCTACCCCACCACCCCAGATTATGAGAGAATATCGTTGTAATATAAGTTTCATTAAAAGCACAAAAGACAAACATCCCTAAAAGTATATCACAGCACATCAGTACCAGTATAACAGATCATATCCACATCAAAGTACATGATCTCATTATATCAGAATACAGTTGTGTGAAGTAACAACACATGACATACTTTTAGAACACATCATGCAAATGTATATTATAGAACAATTTACAACAGATATAAGTAATGGAGTGTTGAGGGTGGTACCTTGTCCATGTGGTTCAGTGGCGCTCCATGTTCCAGCAGGATCTTGACACATGGTAGATTGCCGCGGACTGCTGCACAGTGCAAGGCTGTCTCCCCCTCCTGTCAACACCATGTACACCCATCAGACACCTACATACTCACCATGTACACAGGTAAGTAACCATATATACTCATAGTGTACAGGATCAGCACAATCATGGACACCTACAGTGTACAGGATCAGCATACATGGACACCTACAGTGTACAGGATCAGCATCAATCATGGACACCTACAGTGTACAGGATCAGCATAATCATGGACACCTACAGTGTACAGGATCAGCACAATCATGGACACCTACAGTGTACAGGATCAGCATAATCATGGACACCTACAGTGTACAGGATCAGCATAATCACAGACACCTCAGTACAGGATCAGCATCAATCACGGACACCTACAGTGTACAGGATCAGCACAATCATGGACACCTACAGTGTACAGGATCAGCATAATCATGACACCTACAGTGTACAGGATCAGCACAATCACGGACACCTACAGTGTACAGGATCAGCACAATCATGGACACCTACAGTGTACAGGATCAGCACAATCATGGACACCTACAGCATACAGGATAAACACAATCATGGACACCTACAGGTGTAGGACACCTACAGTGTACAGGATCAGCATACATGGACACCTACAGTGTACAGGATCAGCATAATCATGGACACCTACAGTGTACAGGATCAGCATAATCATGGACACCTACAGTGTACAGGATCAGCACAATCATGGACACCTACAGTGTACAGGATCAGCACAATCATGGACACCTACAGTGTACAGGATCAGCATAATCATGACACCCACAGTGTACAGGATCAGCATAATCATGGACACCTACAGTGTACAGGATCAGCACAATCATGGACACCTACAGTGTACAGGATCAGCACAATCATGGACACCTACAGTGTACAGGATCAGCACAATCATGGACACCTACAGTGTACAGGATCAGCACAATCATGGACACCTACAGTGTACAGGATCAGCACAATCATGGACACCTACAGTGTACAGGATCAGCACAATCATGGTACACCTACATGGATCAGCACAATCCTGTGTACAGGATCAGCACAATCATGGACACCTACAGTGTACAGGATCAGCACAATCATGGACACCTACAGTGTACAGGATCAGCACAATCACGGACATCTACAGTGTACAGGATCAGCACAATCATGGACACCTACAGTGTACAGGATCAGCACAATCATGGACACCCACAGTGTACAGGATAAACACAATCATGGACACCTACAGGTGTACAGGATCAGCACAATCATGGACACCCACAAAACCTGTGGGATTATTACATACTATAGACATGTGATGGATGCATGTAGACAATGCTTCCGCAAATCAACATTGCAATGACCAAGTCATCAGTTTGAAGAAAAGTAACATATTCTACAACAGAACTGAAAGATACACTGAGATTAACATGAGAAACTAAATCATACCAGCAATAAGGATCAGTCAGAGCAGAATGAGATGCAATGAAATTAAGAAAATTAGTAGTAGGGGTATCGAGTGGCTCAAAACATATAAAGTTAAACTGAACGCTGTACAACACTGACCACAAAGTAAAAGAACCTGTTAGCAGTTGTACCTTGTTTTGAATATCAAGAACTGCATCAGCAAAACATAGGCTTCGAACAATATGTGAGAACCCATGCCAAGCAGCGCTGTGAGCGGGGGTCTCGCCAAGCTGGAGAGAAACGGAGGTCCACATTTAGTACTCACAACACACACAAGCGGCAAAGGAAAAACAATCATATCAAAATTTGGAAAGGAATGATTAGGCCATGCTGAAACAAAATCTGGCAAATTTAACAACATTATCTTAGCATCTGCACTTGTATAATTAATGTTTGTATTTCAGTTAATAATTTGTCTGTCTAATGGATGGTACAAAAAAAATTAATTAAACTAGCTCAGTTAATACAAGGAGGACATGTTCTCCTGACACAAACAATCTATGATTAAACTGATGACTTAAAATATCCCTCTGCGTGGTTACTGACAGCTGCCCATGGATTGAGTTGTCTCCCTTGACACATGTGACACAAGAAAAACTCTGTATAGTTTATTATCACATGCCCAGAGTACATCTTGACATTTATGCAGATGAATTGCTGTATTACTTGCAAAAGCAGAACATGTAACTTACAATGAAGTCAGAATATCAACATGCTGTTAATATTAGTTAAGGGTAGGATTCATGATAATTAATAAGTCAAGGAGAGTTACCGATATGATGTCCAGAATAAACTTGTAAGTGGTTGCATGATCAAAATTACAAATATATCCAAATCTACACCAAGAATGTTTAATTAAGAACCATATTGAGCCTCCAAGTCCACTGTTCTGGCTAGTGTTGGCACTATTTGTGTTAACAACACGACACTGTATTTCCTTGGGTGTCGTACACCTGCATTAACTGTTGGATACACTGAGCGGAGAGAGTAACATGCTGTACATGACATTCCGAGGACCATGCAGTACTTACACTGTCCTGGAGGTTGATGGAGACGCCAGCTTCACACAGGTGGTCCACAACGTGGGCATGGCCGTAGCGTGCAGCAACGTGGAGGGCATTCTCACCTGACTGTGGAAACAATCACAGGTAGAGTGCAAAGATGGAATAGATGACAGGTATCAACGTTTTCTTCTATTGATGAAAAAACAACACCATGCTATATGTACCTTTATTCACTTACAAATCAGGAATATCAGTTTTTCTATATTTTACAACGATACTGACCGGTGTCAGAAAAACACAAAGAGACCACCCTGGACAACTTGACTTTCAATATAAATACATTTAGCCCAGGCATCTGAAACAACTTTCTTTGTCAGTCTTGCGTGTTTCTTCAAAATGGTAAAGATATTAGACCATACTCACTTCAAATTCATTCTACACTTCATTCACATTAAGCTAAGATACTGTTCAAAGTAGTGGAAAAAAACGCAACTTCCTCACTCACTCATACCTCAAGATGCTGCAATTTGAAAGATCTCAAGCATTATAAGTGGTTACACCATAACTGTAAGATAAGTACCTTGTTTTTGCCATCCAGTGGGACGTTAGCTTCCTGCAGGTATTTGATGACATCTAGCTGACCCTGCCGAGCCGCCCAGTACACTGCACTGTCCCCTTGCTGAAAGTACATCACATTGTTGTCACACCACCAGACAAATTAGGATACATACTGGAGATGATACATTGTGGTTTGTTTGTTTGTTGTTTAACGCCGCACTCAGCAATATTCCAGCTATATGGCGGCGGTCTGTAAATAATTGAGTCTGGACAAGACAATCCAGCGATCAACAGCATAATCATCGTACTAAGCAAATAGGATGTGATGACATGTTGGATATTTCACTATATCAGTGCAGTAGTAGGTGATTGTGGCTACAGGCTTCTCAGATAATGAGTGACTATTTTCATTTGAAAATTTTTGATGAACACTGTATTTACTGACAACAGTGTTCACAAATGGTGTTTCAAAGTAACAGGACATTGGGTCCTGTAAGTTTCAGATGTCTGTCTGACCCATTGAAAATTCAAAGGACCCATAGAATAAAATTAAACACACATTTCTTATAATCGACATTGAAATTATTAACAAACATAAGATTTATAAACAGGAAACAAGTGTTACATGCCACATTAACAACTTCAGTCAAAGTCATTCTGAAACATACAGTCAGACACTGGGGCCGGTGGGTTGTAGACTTCTTTCAGACTTTTGGGGAATCTGCCGGATTTGTCAGAGGGTCAGACGCTATTCGTGAACACTGTGACAAGTGTTATCACTTGTAAGATTGTTGCAATAGTTTATGTACATAGTAAGAGGGAATTATTTTGTAGAAAAATTAATGAATTTGCCTGTGAGTGTGTGAACTCTGAATGCTCTATCCAGGTAACCATAATAGCAGGTAAATTATCTCCCCGTTGACTAAGACTATTCAGCTGAGATTAAGGGAACTAAGCCTTAAAACATGACTGAACATACTTCTGACGTATTAACAAGGACAATCACTCAACAGTTACAAACTGTCTCTGCATTTCTCCAGGCAGCATGGCCTACAACAATACACACCAAGGAATACTGTGACAGTATGTTTCAAAGTTCTGCTGAAGTGTAAATGAGCAGACATTGGGCTGATAACAATACCAACCCACGGACCAACACACACTTACAGGTGTGGCATTCACACAGGTGATTACTGTCTCAGTTGGCTCTGATTACTGTATCCTGATACCTCTGTGTTAACTGGCTGGTGTGACAATGACAGCAGCCACGTACTACGTCGGCAGGGCTGTGCCTGATTCAAGCTGTTAACACCGGCTAAGGCTGGGATTACACCATCTTTTGCTAAACTGTTAGGACGTCCTGACATGACAAAACCTTACACAGTCGTCTTAACCTTTGCTTTCCTCCCAAGAAATAACAGTTTATGATTGATTTTTCGAAATTCCAGTAAAACTGATTAAAACTGAAGAAATATGTAACAGTTTGAGGCTGGCCCTAGGTATATCCTGCTAGTATCAATTGACAGAGCCATGATCAGGCCATAGAAAACTCTCTCATGACATGGGGATCAATAACACGTACTCTCTAGAATGGCAGGGGTAACGTTAACATTCTTCAAAATGAACTTACTACCCTGGTGAGAGTATGGTACAACTGGACAATAATACACCTCATCCCTTTATGTCCCCGTAAGCTGTTAGAGCAGTAAAACCTTCTAATCAGAGCACCTTTCTCTTTCCACACTGGACAGTGAAGGGCTTAGTAAATTCATCAAACAATGCTAACCCTTTTAGAAGGACTACACATCACTCAGTATTGTCCCTAAGGACTCTCCTGGTCATCTCAATCACTTCCCTGTGTTAGTTAAACACTCATCCACTGGCTTTGACCTCAGCCCAGACCCATCTTCCCCACCCTTAACTGTGGACAATCACATCTATGTCTGTGCAAACATGGAACTCATCCTCACCTTATCTTTAACTCCAACATCCACACCCTTGGATTGCAAGAACTTGATGACGTCAACATGGCCTCCACTAGCTGCCATGTGTACTGCAGTCTCACCGTGCTGAAACAACAAGCATCTATTCTAAACAACATGCATCTATTGTAAACAAGCATCTGCTTTACCTATAGCTATTCACTGGTGGTGTTCCCATAGTGGACATAGATGCCTGAATGTTCTGTAAATGACAATGTTGCAAGAAACTTCCATAATCCACTGAATGTTCCTAAAACAGGAAGACCATTACATACCACATTAGTTTGCAATACAGAAATAATACTGGATGCCCTTATGATCTCATTTCCTTAGAGGGTGCAAGCACTGAAGTGTGTGGGAAGTCTCAAACACTCCTTGAATGTTGTCATGCAAGTGTTATGTTCTGACAAGATACATCACAAAGTTTAGGCCCTGGTGTAAATATCTGTCAAACTTGAAACATTCAATCACGAAAGACAGAACTCTGTGATCGCATGATCCCACTGAATGTCCATGATGTCATCTAGGTCTGGCTCGTATCCCAGTGTACATAATTTGTGTGTCAGTTTACTGCCCAAAACATGACTTTCATAAAGGACTCCTACATTCAACTGCTTAGTGAGATGACATATTTTCACAGATGGCGTGACACCACACTTTGTGGGTAAACATCAGTTGGGTTTGTGTAAACTGTATATATGTCTGTTTCATGTTCACAATACATACTCCCAAAGAGCAGCAATAACACTTAGCACTGGGATCACATTTCTTCTGTAGGAGTTCATTTCAGCTCATACATCACATATTATCTCAAAAAACCGACACGTGTAATAGAACAAAACACTAGAAACACTGCACTGGGGTTCGGTTTCCTAGGCAACCAGAGCCATAGCTAAGCAACACCTCATTCACTATATTTTCTCAACAACTGTCTGCCATTATATTTGAAAACATTTGACAAAAGCTTCTGATCAATTGCTATAGCTTGCAACGTCATGAATATTCAGAGCACAAGCATCACCTAAACTGGTAACAAAAACACCACTTGAATCCAACTCAGCGCAATGACAACAAAGACGACTGGGTGTATCAAAAAGTTTGGTCAGTATACATAACTGATGTCAGAGATGACTTAACTTAAAATTCCACCATGCTTTTGAGCATCTCTTGATCCTGGCCACCATTGTTATCACACACATAACAGAACTGCATTTTTCAGTTGTCTTGGTTACAGACTCATGCATTTTCATACATACAGCTCTGTGCAACAAATCTGTGCAGCTTCAGCTACTGGTAATATCAATTCACTGACAAATGGTAAGTGTTTTTCTGCCTGTTGCGTGTATTCATACAAGATGATGACCCCCCCCCCCCGACCTATCATGTGTCTCTACCTTGACATTTTACATTTGCAACATTTTATAATAACTTTACACAATCAATGCATTCCATTAATAATATAAGATTCAAACTATCATTTGCATCAGAATCATAAATGAAATATATTTAGTCTTGTATTAATCTATTTATAACAAGCAGACTGATTGTGTCAAGGGGCCAGATGATGGTACAAGGGTGAGTGAGTAAGTTTAGTTTTACACCGCACTCAGCAGTATTCCAGCTATATGGTGGCAGTCTGTAAATAATAGAGTCTGGACCAGACAATCCAGTGATCAACAGCATGACCATCCATCAACGCAATTGGGATCCAATGACATATGTCAACCAAGTCAGCAAGCCTGACCACCCGATCCCATTAGTTGCCTCTTACGACAAGCATGTGTTACTGAAGATCAATTCTAACCTGGATCTTCAAGGGTCCAATGGTACAGGGGACCGCAAGTACCATCATACCATCAGTACCTTGTTAACTATAAGGCAGAACTGCCAATAAGCATATCCTGTACCGAGACAGAAGATTTGCAGACAAGGCAGCCCCGAGACCAGATGATGGTACAGGGGAACCGCAAGTACCATCAGTATCTTGTTAACTGTAAGGCAGTATTGCCAATAAGCATATCCTGTACCGAGACAGAAGATTTGCAGACAAGGCAGCCCACTGACCTACTCATGTCACTTACTGAGGATTCAAATCAATTACCAGCATACGTGCAAAGCTGGACTTCCTGTCAGTTGAGTTCCAGTAATAATACCAGCAGTGTTGTCACTATTGATTATGTTTGTAGCATTATTTCTATCTCAATACAGATCATGGAGACAGATCTTTAGAGGCATTGGTAACCCTAGATAAAGCATCTCCCCAGTAACCATCTGTACATCCTTGTCTGTGTTTAAATAACTGAATAGGCAGGCCCACCATTCAGTCACTGCACACTGCATGGTTCCCTGATGTATTATATTCACATTGATCATGCACATTGTATTGGGCTCATCATAACTGATCATATTTTGGATCATCCAAGAGTGGGAATGAAGAGTAATGTCTGAGATATTGAAGGCCCTTCAGCCACCAAACATGAAAAAAAAAATCATTCTGCTCTCTTTCCAGACTGGCAAAATGAGGTTCATTATATTTTTTATGCACTGATATATGAAGTAACAAATCTAACGCAAAGTGGTATAATTTATAAGAATGCTAAAGAAATTCATCAACAGAGGTGAAAGTTATGCATCAAAATAGAAGAGAAGTGTTGAACAGATCATGTTTCTCTTCCATATACCAACTGCTGACAGAGGAATAACCTGCTCTCAGTGAAGCTGTGACTCTCTGGGTAGTATTACAAACACATCCTACATTGTGAGTCTGTTCATGATAGATTCAGTATATATCCTGTCTGGGATGTTTCCTCAAGACACAAAAGACACACACTTCAGCAGAAATTCTGTCCATGTGAAAAACATCTTCTCATGTTACTACATGGCAAATTCAGTGAGTATTATAATGTTCTTCCTTCATGAGTACAATGCCAATATTAACGAATCCATCAAACATGGAATTAGCTTTTCATTCTTTTTCATTTAATCGATCTCTCTAAATACTGCAGGATGTCTCTAAATTTAAACAGGATACTTTCAGATAAAGAACTGCAGGAAAATAATGACAAGAATGAAACTGAATGTGGAAAGACGGGTATTGAACTGGCACCAAGTAGAAAAACTGGATTTAATGTAAACAGTGTGCAGATTAAGAAGCCAATTCACAAAAATAGGTTGTGAGACAAAAGAAAACACCTTGTTCCCCAAGAACAAACAGATTTGAATGTTCTGACATGTTTAACAAACATATACCCCTCATCTGAAACCAATGTCCTAAAACATTTTAGGAATGTCATGTAAAACTGTGATGTGAAACAATCAATTCGCCATACACAGACAAACATTGCTGCTGACTGAGAAGAGAACTGACATTTAAATACAGATATGTTGTCATGAACAGGACAACAGAATCATTTCACATACCTTATTTGCAGTGTTCAGATCTATATTATTGGCTGTTTCTGAGAGATCCTTTAATCCATCAACATTTCCTTCTTCGGAGGCACAAAAGAGGGCAGCCATTACAAAGTTCTCAGCTTTTTCCTGAAAATAACACAAACATTTTTTTATAAGTTATCCTGCATCCGTCCAACATATTTGATTTGCGGTATAGATTTGTCGCTGTCAAGCCACGTCCAGAGTGAGAGTGCATCAGTGTTCCTTCGCACCTTGAATGCTGCAAGTGACACTGAATGCTATACTAGTTTGAGAAATCTAAGACATCTGAATAGCAAATACTGTCAAATATTTACAGGTATTTGTGGATTCAGCCAAAAGTGATGAGAGAAATCCTTTGAAGGGATATTTACACATCTTGTCTGACCCACATCCAGGCGAACAGCATTCAATTTCACTACAAAGCACACAATAACATATCCCCCACAAGAACACTTGCACACACCTCTACCATGACCAAATTGGATTCCATTTTTATATCACAAGGTATCCAGAGCCTAGTATGACTTGAGATTCACAGGTCATACAGCATGATGCTAGTCAGGTACTGCACAGCTTCAAGGAAACGTATCACTTGACCAAATATTTCTGTGCAGCAAGTGCCTCAGCACTGCAAGAGGTAAATTAAAGCATGGCCTCCAATACAGTAGGATTTACTAAATATAGCTTTTCAATGTAGCCTTGTGTTCAGGGCTCACTGACTGAGATAGCATAGAAATTGTGTGTAAGAGTAATGACACGAATGTCTTTTTGACTGCTGCTTACTGAGCAAGTCACATGCAGGGTTATAGTTCTACTGTACAAACATGTTTATTGTGTGTGACAATAGCAATGATTTTCATGTTATCCCTTGCAACATCACACTAAAGAAGCAGAGCTCCTAGTCCTATCCTCCATGCTTATTTTAACCAGCAATGTAACTGTCCCACTTTCCAAATGTATGTGCTACCTACAGTGTTTCTCTGTTGTCTTTGTATCAAACCTAGGTGTGTCCGAGCGTGAGTCCTTCAAATAGAAGTTGTTAAGTCAGCAAGCTTTTCATTCTTGTTAATTCAGTGTTTACCACCAGGTTATTTGAACATTCTACACTCCCGCTGCGAGAAGGCCATGTTTTTCTCTTATCTATCTGTTGGCTTAACAGTGTAATCAATCATAATATCAATGTAGATGATTGAAATACACATTCTTGTAGTCTGACTTGCCAGTGCTGCATATTGACACAGTGTGGAGTTCATGGTCTTCATGCCCTCCCCTGATATAATCTTATCTGAAAGAAATGGATGTCCTTGAGACACAACACAGGAAGCGTGGCAGACTGACACGGAGAAACACTCCTGCTGCCTGAATGAGGTGATCACTGCGAGTCCTTCTGTCATTTCCTGGGCTGAGATATTGGGAAATATCATGAATGCATTATTGATGAAGGAAGTGTTATATACCAGAGGTGAATGAGACTGCAAGTGCTCCGGGAAAACAATCCAGTGAAATTCTTACATCCATCTGCCCAGATGTGACACACACTTGCATATTTAGAGGAATGTCACTTTCATTCCTTGAGAGATTCCTTCAACAGCATTCTCCATTACATACATAATGTCATTTGAGAACAACTTTGTCTTTCCAATACTCTAATACATACCTAGCTATCTAATAATTATATTCCCATCTACATCCATTCATCTAACCAAAACCTATATTCCCATCTACACCTATGTGTCTATCCAACACCTATATTCCTATCCATACCTATGTGTCTGTCAACACCTATATTCCTATCCATACCTATGTGTCTGTCAACACCTATATTCCCATCCATACCTATGTGTCTATGTTTCCAACACCTATATTCCTATCCATACCTATCTGTCTATGTATCCAACACCTATATTCCTATCCATACCTATGTGTCTGTCAACACCTATATTCCCATCCATACCTATGTCTGTCAACACCTATATTCCCATCCATACCTATGTGTCTATCCAACACCTATATTCCCATCCATACCTATCTGTCTATGTATCCAACACTTATATTCCTATCCATACCTATATGCTAACAACAATCTTTCCATCACCATATTTTCAGTCATTGTGTTATAATTGCTTATACTGTAAATGTACAGGTTTAGTATGTCAGAACAATGCACATTTGTGTAATCCATTTCCTGTGTAAAGTCTAACCTTACACAGTAAATATAACCAAACAAATTTGTTCATCGCTAAAAGAAAACCTATTTACTTCAGAGCAATGAGACCTATATTTTTCTGAACCTACTGTTGAAGGAAATATTTCTTTCATAATTACACAAGGGAGTTCACACAATACCCACAAGACTGACACATTCAGTATCCTTCACTGTGCCAAACTTTCAAGGATACACCTTTTTAAAGATAGTCTTGTTTTGCATGCTTTTCTTGTGGAATTGACACCAGCCTTTTGTTTCGATGCCTGTGATCTCTGGCCTTATCAAAACAATCATTTCTTGCTTCACAGGAAAAGCTTTGCCACTTTGTTTGTTGGCTTTTTGTCTTCATTATGTGAACTACACCTTTCAGAGGCCACAGCATATTTGGGTAATTCTCCAAAACACAAATGAAGTGTGAAGTGAAATCGATTAAATATAATTCATATACATTCACGTAACCTTGATTCGTGGATATAAGAGAAGTGCGGTGAAAATCATATTTCAAATGCACGATTTCATTTTGTATACTCACTGATTATTTTATTCATTGATTCAGCAAATTGAAAATGCCTTATATTCCACTCGTGAGTGAAACGTTTGGCTACGGAAGCCATTAACAATCATCACCCATTCATGTGCCCACAAAATTTGATGTCACCTTGTTTCGTGGATTAAGTAGTTGGTTACTTTATATCACTATGTACGAGTGAGTGAGTGAGTTTAGTTTTATGCCGCACTCAGCAATATTCCAGCTATATGGCGGCGGTCTGTAAATAATCGAGTCTGGACCAGACAATGCAGTGATCAACAGCATGAGCATCGATCTGTGCAATTGGGAACCGATGACATGTGTCAACCAAGTCAGCGAGCCCGACCACACGATCCCATTTGTTGCCTCTTACGACAAGCATAGTTGCCTTTTGTGGCAAGAAGACCTATTCTACCCCGTATCTTCATGGGTATCACTATGTACGACAGCCCATTGCAGTAAGTATTGACTCCTAGGAAAGCAGACGATGAGTTGTGAGAAGGTTGGTGCTAACGGTATCTTATTTACTTGACATTTTGTAAAAATAAAATTTGGTATTGGTGGTATTAGTGATCTTGGGCTATTTATCTCAGTGCTGGACAATTAGATTTAGTGTATTTACGTGTAATGCAGAGATTGCGAACATTTTTGTCAGCGAGGCGTGGCATTGTATGTACATCAAAAGTACCACTTCGTGACTCCATACAAGATTTAATTTACGAGATAGAATGATAATTACCGCAATCCACAAATCAAAGTTATTCACAAATTTAAGTTACGGTTCTGTAATGATACATAAAAATTTGACCATGCACAATTTGATAGCTTTAAATACAACATTCCTTCAAGGTGTAAGTCTCAATTAATCATAACTATTCTATAAGTATTATTTCTCAATAGTTATTTACATACTGCTACAAGCATGACAAAACCTGGCAACTATGTATCTTAAAATAATATCAAATAAATGTGCATGGGAAGTGATGTATAACAGTGCTTCTTGTCTTTTGTACACATCTACATGAGTGAGTGAGTATGGTTTTACGCTGCTTTTAGCAATATTCCAGCAATATCATGGCGGGGGACACCAGAAACGGACTTCACATATTGTACCTATGTGGGGAATCGAACCCAGGTCTTCTGCATGTCGAGACAACGCTTTAACCACTAGGCTACCCTACCGCCCCCATATCTACATGTAGTGGTTGTAATGAGTTCCTTGTATCCCAGCATTAGGTTGCCCATCCATCTGCCTCTACCTCTCTCCTATGTGTTGCTCCATGTCACACTAGGCGTTCACTTGTCATCTGTTAATGTCAATATTGTCTGCCCTGGCATGTCTAGGGAATTATGTCTATACAAACACCAACAAAATATGCAGCTCACAACTTCTAAAAGTTGCAGTCAAAACTTGAGAATTTGCCAAATAAATGTCACATCCCAAAAATTCAGACACTTCTTGCAGGAACCTATGACGTTCATTTCCTGGATCTCTGGATTCTTATGCCAAATATTTCTTTAACTTGGATATTTTTCCAATAATCAGTTATGGCAGTTTTCTATTTACATATTTAGTATACCCATTTGTCCAGTGGTGTAAGTGCAGGCTTAATTCTTCAGTCACTGTATGCACCCAAAATATGCCTTGTGATCCTAGATCTCGGGAGACAACTCCAGAAAGATACATCAACAAACAGGGGTCTTTGTATGTATGGGACAATTCCATGACATCTGCACACACTAAATATACCTCAGCGTAGCCAACATTCTCTAACCAAGTAGTGTTTCATACTGTCAACACAATGACACACATACTGCATATTGTCTGTCACAACTGCATACTGGCAACTCTGGAATGACTAAATGCCTTGAGGGCTAGCTACTTCAGCTTGGTTGAAACATTATTTTCACTGATCATTTTGTGCTCAGCCACAAAGCTATCTTACATAACTATAAAACAGCTAAGCTATTCTGACACTAAATAAAGATTAGATCAGCAGCTCTTAAAATGTCTTGATTTTTTCAGTTTCCTGATAAAATGGTTTATTATTGTTTGAAGGAGCAGACTGTAGTCCTGATAACACAGAAGTAGGTGAAACTTGTCCTCAAGTGCAGTAATGTTTTCACTCAGGCAGAACTTACAGTCTTTCCTGCAATATGATTATGTCAGCCAGTTTAAATTAAGTTGTTCCATATGAATTTTGCTATTAAAATCTAAGAATAAAGTGTTTTAAAGTCCTGGGTTTAATATTTCTTGGCATCGGGTAATGAACTGAAGCATTTGTAAGCACAACATTTACTATTTGACTGAAGGGATAACTACGGGTCCTTGAAGTCTTGCTTGAATTTATTACCCTGTTTAACAGTAAA